CCCCCCCCCCCCCCCCCCCCCCCCCCCCCCCCCCCGCTTTCCTCGCCCCCCGCGGTGCACCTTGCACTGCACACACAATCCTAACAAACTGCCTCTTTCACCGCCAGTGGTTTACGCTTTCTTCTTTTTTCGTCATGATTTGTCCTTCTAGTTTCATCCCTCCTCCGGCTATTGCTTCCATGCAACACACATTCCCGCAGCGCGCAGGCGTACTGCCCAGACAGCCAGATGCAGGCCGCGGCTGCATCCCCACGCAAGAGGAACCGTGGTCGCCGCTGGGCGAGGGGGACGGGATTGGCGCAGCCCCTGCCAAAACAGAGGCACCCGGTGTGTCAGGGCCTGTGCATGTGATCAACCACGCCAGTTTGCCATTAGTCTGGTCAATGGCACTGGCATGACTCAGCTGTGTGAGCCGTCCGGGTGGGGGTGGGGGGCGGCGGGCGGGGGGGTGGCAGCGCGCTGATGAGTTGCATGCTGTACAGATGTGCGTGTCCGGAGCGGCGGAGGACTTTCATGCGGTCGTTTGTGCAGCGCACCAATTTCACATGAGCACGAAGGGCTGAACTTAAGCATACCAACAACTGTGGTAGCGATGAGCGTCCCACGGCCAGTCCCTCTGCTGACGCTCCTCGCACTGCTGGGTTTGGCGCAGGTACGCGACACACATGCCGCCGCTGCTGCATACGCTCCGCCGCCTCGCGCCGCCGCCTACCACCGTGCCTGCCGTTCCGCTATTGGCGCCCCACCGCCACAGCCAAACTGGCACCGGCAGCTGGCTGGCGCTAGATCGTGCTCCCGCTCAGCCACCTGCTGCCGCTCCGCCTCTCATCTCCTGCTGCAGGCTGCGCCGACCAAGCTGCTGCGCTCCAACGGCACCCACGTGCTGCTGCCGAGCGGCAAGCCGTGGCGCGGCATCGGCGTCAACGTCATGGACGATTACAAGTGAGCGAGGCGGCTGTCATCCTGCGAGGCGGCTGTCACCCTGCTGTCACCCTGCGCCTGCCCCTGCCAGCCCGTCGCCACGCATCCCAAACTCACCCACAAGCGCCACTCTCCTTCCTGCTCCTCCTCCCCTCCTCCTCCTCCCCCCGCGCCACCTGGCCACTCAGGTGCGGCGTGTGCTGGGAGCGGCGCACATCCAAAGAAGAGGTCGTGCGCCGCATCTCGCTGGCCGTGGACTGCCTGGGCGTGTCCTGGGTGCGCTACACAATCATCGACGGCCTGGCCTGCGACGTGTACGACGGAGTGACGTGGTGCAAGGAGCGGCCGGCATCCTTCCTGGAGAGCCCGGACCGGCTGGAGGCGCTGGACGCGGCGGTGGCGCTTGCGGAGCGGCGCGGCTTCTACATAGAGGTGTGTGTATGTGTGTGTGGAGGCAGGGGAGTGGGGGGGAGTTTGGGAGCGGGTGCGGGGGTGATGGTGTCATGTGGTTACCTTCCTGGCTGTGCATCTCCCTGGCTGGTTTTCCATGCGCTGGTTCCTGGCTGCCGGGACTGCTGTGCGCCGTTACCTGGCTCCGTTCATGCCGCCTATCCCCCGCCGCTGCCCGCTCGCCCCACAGATTGCGCTGCTCGTCTCGTACACCTTCACCAGCCCCGCCAACGCCGACAAGCAGTGAGTTGCGCCGCGGGCTGCTGCCGAGAGCGCTGCCTGGCAGTGGTCCTGCGCTCAGCAGCGTCACGGCTAGGCCGCTGGCATGCGCCAGCCAGGCGGCGGCAGCAGCTGCAGGAAGGACCGCGAGCCGCCGCCAACCGCCGGCAGCTCCCCAGCGCTGCCCTCACCCCTCCCCTCCCTCGCCGCCTTGCAGCCCGCCGGGGCAGCCCAGCGGCTGGCCGACCGCGGGCACCGCCCGGTTTTGGCGTGTGGTGGCCAAGCGCTACGCCAACCGCCCATACGTCTTCTTCGGCATCATCAACGAGCCACACGAGAACTACGATGGAAAGTGGGACAAAAAATACACGCGGGCGGCGCAGGTGGGGGTTGGGACGGCTGAAAGGAACAGCAACCTGTGGTGAAGAGGTGGTGGCAGGGAGCGGCTGCGGTGCAGGGTGCGGGAGGGGCGCTGCACGGGGAGGGGCGCCGCATGCCCGATGTGTGTTGCTGCTGTAGCTCCCTCCCAATGCTACCGCCGTGCCCCTCAGCAACTGCCGCCGCTGCCTCCCTCCCACACGGCCGCTGCTGCCCCGCTCCTTCCTCCACCGCCTCCCGCAGGCAGTGGTAACCGCCATCCGGGGCACGGGCGCCAAAAACATGGTGGCGGTGGGCGCGTCCCGCGCATGGGCTAGGTACGCCGACAGCTTTGTGAAGTATCCCATCCGAGATGCCAACTGGGTGGCGGCGGTACATTTGTACCTTCACCCCGAAGAGCTTCCCCCCATCGCCCAGGGGTACTGCAAGGTGGGTGGATACTGCGGGCGGCCCTGGCGGCGCTCAGGGTTTGGGTGTGCTATGCGAGCGCCAGTGTGCAGAGTCCGGCTCGGCGTGGGGCTCGGACTTTGCCTTGTGAGTGCCAGTCCTGCATAACAGGCCTGCTACGTGCAGCGTGACCGCGCCGCCTGTTTTCAACTCCCCGTCCGCTCGCTGCCACCGCCGCCGTGCAGAAGCATGCATGCATTGTGGAGGAGTTTGGCCCCGCCACCGACCTTGGATACACACTAGCAGAGGTGGGCAGGGCATTGTAGGCAGCAGCTGCACGCCTGGCAACATGCTGCTCCCTGCCTAACACCCTCGCATCTGAGTCTTGTCCCCGGGCCCCCGCCATGCCCCCATCTCCTCCCTGCCCGCAGTCCAAGTGGCAGCTCAAGTGGCTCAAGCGCCAACGCTGGCCGTTTGCTGGGTGCGCCTGCGTCGCTGCCGCGGCGTGCAGCCCGGGTGGCGGTGGCTTTCTGCAGGCCCCCTGCATCGCCTTGTCTGCCGACCTGCCTCTCTTTGTGCCTGCGTGCGTGCTGCCGTTCATGCATTCTGACCGACGGCTGGCCCTGCCCTGGCGCCCTTCGTTTGCTTGCAGGTGGGTCTGGGACGAGGTGTGCAACCCCTCCATGCTGGCCGCCAGGGACCCCTCGAGCGGTGGGTGAAGGCAGCGGATGTCGGCAGAGAGGCAGGCATGGCACAGTGTGCATGGAGAAGCAACCGGTTTGCGTTGCTTTGTTGCATGCTTGTGGACCCAGGCGGCCGACCGCTATCTGCTGATGCCATGCTACGGGCTGTGGTGCCCTTCCCCCTGCCGCTGCGCCTGCAGACCCGTGTGAAGACGGCCGCGCGCTGCGGCTGTCGCGGTGGGGCGCCGCCATGCGCAACGCCACGGGCGGCGGCAGAAGAGCATGCAGCCTGCTGGTATGAGTGTGTGCTTTGCTTCAGGTTTTGCCCGGTTGTTGTGTGGCTGCCCACCTCCTCCAACCGCCATGTGTGTAATATTGGGCAGCTTGCGAACAGCGGAACGCCGTCAGCGGGCGGCGGGGCGGGAGGAAAGCGGCATGCTCATGCTCTTGTTTTCTGCTGCCGCCCCGGCAATCTTCGATCGGCATCCCCCCGGGCGCCATGGCCGATCACCATGCCTCTGAGCTGCCCCAGTCCCCTGGCTCGATCACGTTGCCCATTATCGACGACCACGAGTATCGGCTGATCACCCTGGGCAACGGACTGCGGGCTCTGCTCGTCCATGACGCCACCGCGGAGAAGGGGGCTGCCGCCTGCGACGTGAGTGTGAATGCGAAGCCGCGATGGCTTCGCCTGCCTCCCGGGGCGTCCAAGGGGCAGCACAGCAATGCAATGCGTGCCGCAATCAGTGTGCCGCGCCGCCCGGGCGGCGCCGACTGGTTGGTAGGCTGGGGCGGGGCGCCGGGTGGGGCGCCCCTCTGCTTGGCTCCCACCCTTGTGCTACGCAGCCCCTGTGGCTCGCCTGCCCTGCCTGCCTCTGTGCATGGTCTCTACATTGTCTCTGGGTGGCATGGCAGCCCGCGCAGCCGCCGCCTGCCCGCCCCAGCGAGCGCCGCATCGGTCCAAGGTGGCGGCGTGCCGCCACCGTCTCCTCTCCATGCCCTCATCCCCCGCATCGCCCTCTTCTCCCTTCCGCTCCCCTCACACTCCCCATGCCTGTCCTCCTCAATCCCTGGCCGCCCAGCACCTGCCCTCCTCTTGCGCTTGGCCGCCTTTGCCCCTGACCACCCACCCGCCGCCCTCCTCGCGCTGCGCCGCTCTGTTGAACAGGTGCGGGTGGGCTCCCTGAGCGACCCCGACGACGTCCCCGGCCTGGCACACTTCACCGAGCACATGCTGTTCTACAGCAGCCACAAGTACCCCGAGGAGGACGAGTACAGGTGGGCCTGGGGGCGTGTGGTGGTGCTGGTGTGTGTGCAGGTGTGTGCAGGTGTGCGCAGGTGTGCAGGCGTGCAGGGTACAGCAGCCACATGCCCTGATGAAGGCAAGTACAGGTGGGCTGGCGTACTCATGGTCATGGTGTGCCTCCCCCGCCCCTGGCGCACCACATCCCCGCCCCTGCAGCAAGTTCATCGCTGAGCACGGCGGCCACACCAACGCCTACACCGCGGCAGAGTCCACCAACTACCACTTTGATTGCAACTGGGATGCGCTGGAGCCGGCCTTGGACAGGTGGGCGTGTACCGCGTGTACTGCCTTGCATGCATGAGAGCGCAGCTGGCCCTGACAAGGGCGCGGGCATGGGCCGAAGGGGTGATACTCCTGCTGGCGAAGGCAGCAAAGGGCTGGTGCAGGCACCAGCACCAGCCCCTTGCTGCACGTGCCAGCAGCCTACTCCATCCGGCACCGTGCACAGGGTGTGCCGCCACGCTGTGAAACAGCAGTGGCCATTTGCCTGCCTGGCTGGGCTGCCAAGGCAGGGCAGTCATTGAAGCCTGTCCAGGCAGGCAGCGAGGCCTCTCCTGCCTGCCCCTCCTCTGCCTGCCATTCTCGCCGCACCGGCTTGACACGTCCCGCGTCGCGTTGCCGCTGTTGTACTGCTGCCGTACCGCTGCTGTACCGCCTGCCTCCCGCCGCCCAGGTTTGCCCAGTTCTTCATCAGCCCACTCATCTCCGCTGATGGGGTGGACCGCGAGGCGAATGCGGTGGACTCGGAGTGAGTGGTTGGCTGGCTGGTGGCGTCCTGGCGTTTGGTGGCTGGGTGGACAGGGCGTGGCCCGCTGCCCCGCCGGGTCCTGCTGCTGCTGTCAACCGCGCTGGACTGTGTGGGTCCTATGTGTTACTTTAACACCCACGGAGCAGTCGTGGGCCGATGAAGCATCGCTTGGGGGGCCCGGGACTGCTCCCTGGCGCTCCGTTGCTGCTGAGGAGCTGTGCAGCGTGCCGTTCTTGCCGAGCTGCTCTGCTGCAGCTGCCGACCGCCCGCCGCCCTTTCCTCCCGCCCTTGCAGGCACGGCAAGAACCTGAACAGCGACCCCTGGCGCAAGCTGCAGCTGTGGAAGGCAGTCGCCAACCCGGCTCACCCCTTCTCCAGGCAAGCGAGGCAGGCGGGGCACAGCAGGCGGGGCAGGCTCGGCAGGGGGCAGGCAGACGCTGTGTTCACCTCCCCGACGCTCACTCCAGCCTCGCTTGAAGGCTGAAGAAGCGCCCCACGACGGTGCCGCTTGCCTTCCTTCGAGTCTGCTGTCGGCCCTGCCTCTCACGCGCTCCTCCTACCTGCCTTCCCTCAGGTTCAGCACCGGCAGCTTTGACACGCTGATCACGCAGCCCAAGCAGGCGGGCACCGATCCACACGAGAGGTGCGCCCCTGGTGGGCCCCGCACCGCCTGTGCTGCCCCTCCCTGTTGGTCGCTGTTCAGGAACCATGCTGCATCTGGCCTTGCTGCCCTGCCCGTGCCTGCGCCCCGCTTGCGCTTGCGCCTTGCACCACACCGCCGCTCAAACGCTCGCAAATCGTCCCTGGCAGAACCCTGCAGCCGATGCTGGCTTCCTGCCCCTGTTGCAGGGTGCGGCGCTTCCATCAGGAGCACTATTCTGCAGGGCTGATGCGGCTGGTGGTGGTCAGCAGGTGCGCCTCCTTTCTTCATGTTCTGTTTTTGTTGGGGCTGGGGAAGGGGGCTCCTTTCTTTACGCTACCTGTGTTTCTGTGTGGTTCTGTGTCCATTGGGGTTTGCGCATGGCTGAAGTTTGGGTGTCCTGTGAGGCAGTCGGGCTGTTGGGAGCCAGGCAAGCAGGGCGGGCTGTGGGCGGCCTTGTTTGCACAGCCTTGGGCCCTGGTGCAGTGTCCGCCCCATCCGGGGCTGGCGCTCCACTGGGCTGTACTGTCAATCCACAGACATGGTCTTGCCTGGCCGCCTGCCTGCCTGCCCACCCCTGCAGGCACACGCTTGATGAGCTGGAGTCGCTTGTGCGGGACAAGTTTGCTGCGGTACCGGATGGCGGCCTGGCACCACCCACCTTCTCGCCGGATGCCGTAGCCCCCGACCAGGGCGGGCTGCTCATCCGCATGGTACCGCAGCGGGACGGGCACAGCCTCGAGCTGCAGGCAAGCCTGGGAGGGCGGGCCAGGGCGGCGGGGTGGTGGGGCGAGGTCCCTGCCCGGGACAGTACGACCACTGAAAAAGGGTGCCTGCCGCAAGCCCCTGTCTCGCCGCGCCTGCTGCGCCATTTCGGGATGTCACCCAAGGCCGCCACGCCGCGGGCCACCCCTGGCCGTAGCGCGGCGGCGAGTGGGCGGAGGTGACCCCAGGCGGCGGTGCATGCCCGGGGCGGTGCGGGTCTTTGTGCTCACTTCGCACCCGCTGCCCGCCCGCCTGCTACCTCCGCTTTCGCCCCCCATCCCTGCAGTGGCCCACCGTGGCGGAGCAGCAGCACTACCGACAGGCGCCCTCCCACTACGTCTCGCACCTGCTGGGGTGAGGCTGCAGGACCTGGCATTCCGGCACGCTGCTGGCATGCTTTGCTGCTGGCGCATCTGCTTTCCGGCAGCTCGCCACTGGATTCAACCGTGGGCTGCACCGCCCTCGGCAGCAGCACTTCTGGTTCTGCGGTGGTCCCGGAGGTCCCCGCTGTGCCTGCTCCTCTGCGTGCCGCCCCCTCGCCTCCCACGCCTGCCGCCGTCTCGCGCACGGGATGCCGCAGGCACGAGGGCGAGGGCTCGGCGTTTGCGCTGCTCAAGGCGCGGGGATGGGCCACGGGGCTGGTGGCGGGCGAGGCGGGCACCAGCTACAGGTGTGAGGGGTGGTGCTGCTTTGGATGTGGCGGTGTGCTTGTGCCTGACTCGTGTGCTCCACCTGGATCCCCTGAAGTGCTGCTGATGTGGCTGCCTCTACTGAGCTGCCTCTCCTGGCCGTTTGTCCTCTCCTGCTCTGTCCTGCCGTGCCGTTGCGCTCCCCTCTCACCTGGCCTCCTGGGCCCCTGCCCTGCCTGCCTTCCTGCCTGCCTGCCCGCCTGCAGCGGGCGCAGCTTCTTCATGTGCCGCATTGACCTGACTGATGAAGGCCACCTCGCACGCGGCGCTGGCCGCGGGTCGTCAAGCGTTTTCAGGTGGGCCAGCGGCCTGCCTGCCGGAGAGAAGCGGCGGGGCTGGTCTGAGGGTGCTTGCCCCAGGCAGCGTCCGGGCCTGTTAGCTGGGAGCTCGGGGGGGGGCGGTGCGCTGCGCAATGGCTGCCACGCTGGCGCCATGCTGGCGGGTTTTGAGACGCCTACATCATCTGCTTCTGCCTGTACCCTGTGCGCTGCTCGCTGAAGGTATCTGGACCTGCTTCGCCGCCCAGATGGCATCAACAAGCAGACGTGGGATGAGATGCGGCAGCTGGCAGGTGGGCCCTGGGGCAGGGCTGGGCAGCCAGGCACTGGCGGCAGCCAGGGTGCCCGCCCGTCTCCCTGGCCCACTTGTCGCCAGCTCCACCACCCTGCCTGCAGACATGCGGTTCAACTACCGAGACAAGCAGCCGCCCTACTCCTATGCATCCAGCCTGTCGCAAGCCATGCAGGTGAGCACGTGGCTTGGGCGGTTGGAGGCAGTGCGGTGGGGCATCTTGATACAAGATGGGCAGAAGCGTTTTGCAGCGCGTGTGCTGCAGCAAACAGAAATTTGGTGCCCACATCTCCCTGTACTGCAGGTGTACAGCGATGCCGACCTGCTGCTGGGCGCCTACAGCGTACCGCTGGAGTACGACCCAGACCTCATCAGACAGGTACCGCCGGGTACTGCTGCTGTTGCTGCCTGCTTCCTGCACGCTGTGGGATGGCAGCTTGTCGCCTTCTGTCCAGCTCGCACCGTGGCGGCGGGCCTTAGATGCTGAGCACATCGAACCTGCCCCAACTCTCTCTCCCCTTCCCGTCTGCTGCCTCAGGTGGTGGCTGACCTGACCCCCGACAAGGCACGCGTGCTGTGGTCAAGCAAGAGCCTCGAGGCAAGCTCCCGCACTCTGCTGCTGCGTTGCTGGTGGCTGTGGCAGGGCCGCTGCTGCTGCATGCTGCAGCTGTCAGTCTTCCCAACCACACGCTGCACGCTGCCCTGCAGCAGCAGACCTTAGCAATTTAGCCACCTCGGAAGGCTGCTGACACGCCTGCTGCCTGCTGTACCCCGCTTCCCTTCCGATGCCTCCCCCTTGCAGGCTGAGTGTACTGAGCGGGAGCGATGGTACGGCACACAGCACAGCGTGGGCCCGCTGCCGCAGGACTGGCTGCTGGTGAGACACAACCCTGGAGGCGGGCCCAGCTTTTGCAAGGGCTTTGGCTGGTTTGGGGTTGCCCCTGCTTGCCTGTACAGTTTGGCTGCTCTCTCTCTTTGCCGCGGCCTCGGCCTGCCTCTTGGCTTCACCACATAATGTTGCCCTTTGCTCTGCTGTGCAGGAGTGGCGGGAGGAGGCGCCCCTGCCGGAGCTGCACCTGCCGCGCCCCAACCCATACATCCCCAAACAGTTTGGGTTGGTGGAGGTGCGGTGTGTGTGTGGGTGTGTTCTTTTGCGCTCTTGAGGTTGCAGTTGGGAGGGTGTTGATTCGTTCATGGGAGGCCGAGGTCTGGCAGCAGCTGTCAGCGGCTGGGGCCGCTGAAACGAGGCGAAGGGCATAGCAATAGGTAGCAGGCAGCAAAGTACAATGCCCAATCCTTCTGGCCAACCCTGCTGCGTGGTGCTGGCGGGGGTTCCAGCGCTGCCCTGGCCGGCAGCACGCCGCCTAGTGTTTCTGGGGCCCGCGAGCTCTTGCCACAGCTTGTCTCCCGTGGCTCTTCGCACCCTCTTCCAGAGCAAGGTGCTAACAGCCACGGATGGGCAGGTCCTGCAGGAGCACAAGGGCATCAGGGCCACCATGTGGGCCGCCGGGTAGTCGCTCACCAATGAAGTGGAGCACGCGCCAGAGAAACGTGCTGAGCTGTGTGGGGGCCGCTGCCACCGCTTTTGCGCTTCCACCCCGCCGTTCCCTTTACGCGTCGCTGCTTGGCGGCGGTCACCTTGCAGGACGGCGCGCCGCACCCTGCGCTCATCCACGCCACCCCCATGGTGCGGCTCTGGCACAAGCCTGACCCAAGCTTCAAGGTGCCCAAGGCGGTTCTGTACATCCACCTGCAACTGCCAGGCAAGCGGGCCGGGGGGCAGCACGCAAGAAGGTGCTGCAGCAGGCTGCAGCACGCATCAGCTGGCAGCAGCAGGGGGGAGCTGTCCAGATGCAGCTGGCAGGCAAGGGTGGTTCAGTCAGCGGCAGGGAGGCGGCAGGAGGCCAGGCAGCGGGCGGGCGCCATGCACTACACCAGATTGCAGCCCACCCACACGCCACGCCACATGCACCACGCGCATGCCTGTGCCTTCACCACCACCGTGCACCTCCACCTGCCACACGCGCACCTGCAGAGTCGTATGTGTCCCCCGAGGCGGCGGTGCTGACCCAGCTCTTTGCCAAGCTGCTCAACGACTACCTCAGCGAGGTGGTTGGGCAGCTGGAGGGGGGCTGGGCTGGGGCACGGCAGGGCTTGCGTCTGTCTCGCCCCTACTGCCACCCTCGCCGGGGCCACGCCTACTTTCCCATCACCACGTGCCACCTTCTGCGCCCCTCCCTGCAGGTCACGTATGATGCCGACCTGGCTGGCCTGCACTATGGCGTGCGTGCCACCACCGCCGGCTTGCTGCTGTCCGTGTACGGCTACTCCGACACGCTTGCCACGCTGGCACAGGTTGGCGCGGCTCCGGCTGCACCGCAGACAACGGCGTGCCACATGCCCGCCCGCTACGTTCCTTGGCAGCAGCCCCTCGGCCGCCGCTCGACTCGGTGCCTGCTCCCCCAGCGCGTTCCCTGTGGCCGCCGTTTCCACGTTTTTTAGGTCTGGGCCAACAAACGCGCCCACGCGCCCTCCCAGTCAAAGGACCGGACGGGCGCGGGCGTGGGCCCAGACCTCAAAAACGTGGAAACAGCGGCCACAGGGAACGCGTTGGGGCCTCCTCCTCTGTTCCCGTGCCCCTTCCTCTTTGCCCTTCTGTCCGTTCCCACCATATCTGCCCGGCCCAACATTCGTGTGCGCAGACGGTACTGGGCAAGGTACTGGGCTTCCAGGTGCTGCCGGATCGCTTCCAGGTGGTGAAGGAGAAGGCGGCCAAGGATTTCCACAACATGAGGTGAGGCGGTCACCATTGGGGTACCCTGTTGCGGCCCCCGAGTGCAAAGGGCCTCTGCCGGTTGCCTGATATGCTGCATGTGCCCATGCTTGTTTGGACGAGGTGTGGGTGCCCGCAGCCAGTGGTGCCCGTATCTCTCGGGGCGCCAAGCAGCTCAGCAGCGTCATGTGTGCCTGCCCATGTGTACCGCCTCGCAGGTACGACCAGCCCTACCAGTACGCCCTGTACTGCCTGGGTGTGGCCTGCGAGGAGCGGCGCTGGCACGTGGCCGACTACGAGGCGGCGCTGCCTGGGCTGGCGGCACAGCAGCTGGAGGTGTGGTGAGGGGCAGGCGGGGGGAGGTGTGGGAAGGCGGCCAGTGGAGCATGCTGGGGGCTGAGTGCGGCCGTGGGAGGTGGCACAGCTGCAGTGGTGGCCCGAGTTGGGTGGGCGCGCATGGCAGGGGTTGGGCCGGGGCGGCGGGTGGCAGGGTGGCCAACCACTTGTTGCGGCAGCTCTGATTTGTGCTATGCACATGTGTTCAATCGACAAGAGAGTGTAGTGAAGCTCACCATGGTTAGCCAACCATCGCGGCCTGCATCTACACTCTCTTGATGTGACGGCGGTGCATAGCAGGATTCTGAGCTGGGAACAAGGGTCGACCACCCTGCCACCCGCCGCCACCGCCAGCGTTGCTTTTGGGGGGAGGTTGAGCTGGCACCAGCCTTCAATTCTTTTGTGTGTTGGAAAACACACGAGTGCCTCTCCTGTCGCCTCTGGCCTCCCCGCAGGCCTTCTACCCCCGCCTCTTGAGCCGCTGCGAGGCCGAGCTGCTGGCGGGCGGCAACATGAGCGCCGCCGCCGCCACGCAGTTTGCGCAGGGGCTGGAGCGGCAGCTGCGGGACAGGTGGGGCCTGGTGTGTTCTGCCTGCTGTACTGCCGCTGTGCTGGTGCTGCACCGCCCAGGCGTATGCTGCTCTCCAATGCTGTCACCCCAGTGCCCATGGTGCCTACCCTTGCCGCGACCCTTCCCACCCTCTCCCCCTCCCATGCTCCCCTGCAGGTGCCACACCCAGCCCCCCTTTGCCGCGCAGCTGCCCGCGCAGCGCGTGGTGCGGCTGCCGCGGGGGCGACCCGCGCTGCTGGCGCAGCCCGGCCCCAACCCCGCCAACGACAACAGCGCCGTGGCTGTGTCCTTCCAGGTGGGCTTAAAGGCGGTACAGGGGCAGTACCAAGAGCGGGCGGTACCAAGGGCGGCACATGGCAGTACAGGGGGCTGTTGGCCCCTGGTTCTCCCCTCCTTGAGGCGTCGCCCTGTGAGCCCACAGTGCTTGCTGTCGCCCAGCCCTCTCCCCTCTCACCCCCTTCCCGCCCCTGCCCTGTTGTCGCACCGTGCAGGTGGGGCCGGACGACATGCGCCGCAACGCGCTGGCCGAGCTGGTGACGGCAATCGGAAAGCGCGACGCCTTCCACCAGCTGCGCACCGTGGAGCAGCTGGGGTGGGTGCGGGCATGGCTGCCTGCTGTGCCTGCTGTGCCCGCTGTGGTGGGTGTGCAGGCGCAGGGTCGCTTTGGTCCCAGGCTGGGGTCGCCACACGTGCACCTGGCGCCGCCGGCTTCCCTGCAGCTACCTCACCTTCTGTACCGCCTACTGGACCCTGCACGTGCGCTCCATCCTCTTCATCGTCCAGGCGAGGCCAGCTGCGGCCGCAGCGGTTGTGCTGTTTGCCGTGGCTTGTGCAGCGCAGCATGCACACGCATACCGGCGCGTACGCCGGCTGCCAGTGCCAGGCTGCTAGTGCCAGCAGGCAGGGTGCTCGCGTTGCTGTGTGGCCCCACACCGCGGTCCCCTGTGTGCCACCCACCCACCCCTCCTGCAGTCCACCGCCCACGCCGCCGCCTACCTGGAGCAGCGCATCGAGGCCTTCCTGCCCATGGTGAGGCGCCGGCCAGCAGCGGGGCCCGGCGGCTGGCGCCGGCCGTGGCCAGCCTGACTCGGGTGGCCGGTCAGCCTGCCTGCCTGCCCTCCCCCCCAACACACACACTGGACCCCCCCCCCCCCCACCACACACCACCACCACCAGCACACACACACACACACACACACACACACACACTCTGTCCCCACTGCTCGCTGCCCCTCGCAGCTGGCGGCTCGCCTGGCGGACATGCCCGCCCCCGAGTTCTCCCAGCACGTGGAGGAGCTGGCCAAGAGCAAGGCGGAGCGGCCCAAGCGGCTGCGCGAGGCGGCTGCGCGAGACTGGAGCGAGGTGGAGCAGGGCAGCCTCAGGCGAGCTGCTTTGCTGCTCTTTGGCAGCCTGCCTGCCTGCCTCCCTCCCTCTTATGGGATTTGGGGTGTTGGTGGGATCACCCTCGGGCGAGCCGCTGCCCCTGGCTGCCTGCCTACCTGCTGGCCTCGGTCAGTTAGTTTTCGAAGGGCTGGGGTACTGCTGCGGGCAGCCTGGGCCAAGCTGTTGCTCCTGCCTGCCCGTCTCCCGCCTCTCCCTCGCTTGCGAGGGGGCGGAGAGGGTGTGCTGAGGGGCGTCGCCGGGGCTGGGTGGTGGAGCCGGTTGTGTCTAGAGTCTCTAGACACAACTGAGTAGGGCTTGGAGCCGGCTGGTTGGGCTGTTTAGGCATGGGCACAACAGTGCGCGGCGCAGGGGCTCGCCATCCACACGCACGTTGGGAGGTTCTGGGCAGTGCAGCGCAGCAGGCGCAGCGGGACGCCGCTGCCTGGCCCGCAGCAGGGCCTGGGGCGAGGGTGAGGCTTGAGCAGCATGCCACACGGGCACTGGACACGGCGGCTCCAGCTGAGCCTGCCCTCTCCAGTGCGCTGGGGTATGCACGTTTGCCACACCGCGCTGCCAACCTGCTGCCGGCGCTGAAAGCCCCCGGCGCTGCCTCACCCTGCTTTGCGGCTGGCTGGTGCAGTCGCTCGCTGCATTGCTTCGGGCCGGGGATCGTGAGGGCCTTGTCGCCGCCGCAGACCGCACAGCCCCTCCGCAGCACTCATGTGGGCGTGGTGTCGGGTTTGGGGCGTGTGTGCCGCGTCCGTGGCTGGGGTGTGCCTCGTCTCCTGCGGCGCAGGCTAGGCTCGGATGCAATGCCCCGCTTGCCCGCCTGCGGCCGGCGAGCCGTGCGCCTCCCAGCCACGGGCCGGCCCCGAGAGGAGGGCTGAGGCGCTGGTCGACGGCCTGATTGGTTGGAGGCAGGCCCCTGCTGCGCTATCGTTGGGCTAGGCCGCTGGGCTGTCGTTGACTTTGGGTGACGACAGGCTGAAGGATGACGACGGACGCACCAGGAATGGCAGCCGGGGGATGCGCCCACAGGTGCGCCAGCCCCCGCCCTAGCTCAGTTTCGGCGTGGAGGTGCGGGGTGGCAGGGTCTTGCTGGAGATCAGGACGCTCCGCAGGTGTGAGCCCAGCTCGGTCCGGGTGGGTACTGCGTGTTTGGTGCTGGGAGGCGCCGCTGGCGTTGGACCGGAGCGAGAGTCTGTCCATGGCTTTCAGCGGGATGCGGGCCTGCCCCGACTCTGAGGTTGGAGCTGCTCCCCGCTGTCCTCATGGACCACCTCACTCTCCCTAGCCTGGGCTGACCCTGCCTCTCCCGCCGGCCAAGCAGTCTGGCAAGCGTGACGTGCGGCCCGCCTGTTCCAAGTACACGAATGGTGCCTCGGGGAGGCTGTCTCTCTTACGCTGCCTCCCCCCACCACCTCCCCGCAGCAGCACGCACCCCACAATCACCCCACACCCTACCTGACCCTCGTCCTCCCATGCCTTGACCCCATGTTCCACCCCGCAGGTTCGACCGGATCGATGCTGAGGTGGCGGCGCTGCGCGCGCTGAGCCAGCTGGAGGTGGTCGCCTTCTATAGGGTGGGTGGGACCCTGCTGTTGTGCTTGTGTGTGTGTGTATGTGTGTGTGAGGGCGAGTTGGGTGGAGGGTGAGAGCAGCCTTGGCAGCATCTGGCTGCTCTTCGCTCCCCCCAGCCGCTGCACACCAGCAAACGAGCCGTCGTCCCTCTCCCTCGCGCCCGCCCTGCCTGCCTGCCTGCAGGAACATGTGCTGGAGGTGGGCAGCCGGCGCAAGCTGAGCGTGCATATGGAGGGCAGCCGGGCGGCGGAGGCGGGGGCAGCGGGCAGTGCGGCGCCTGCGGCCGAGGGCTCCGGCGGCGGAGCCACTGCCGATTTGGCTGCAGCTGATGCGCCAGGGGAGGTGCCGGCGGGTGCAGGCCCAGAGGGGCCGGCCGTGGAGCGGATAGGCGACCTGGCGGCCTGGAAGCGGCGGCAGCAGCTGTACGGCAGCCTCAAGTAATTTTGCTTGCCACTGGCGGCGGGTTCATTCTTTTGACTGTCTGTGAGTGAGTCTGGTTGACTCCGAAAGAGCGGCCGCTAGACCGAAAGGTCCGCAGAGCCGTGGTGTGGCGGGCTGAGTCAATGCCCATCAGGCGAGGATCTAGGGACGGAGACAGTGGATAAGTTGAACGGAAAGAGCTTTGTCAAGCCACCTGGCTCCGCACTAAGTGGAAGTGAGGGGAGTCTGCCCTCCGGTGGCGGTTCCACCGCTGAGGCTGGACAGGTGGCGGCCTGCCACCTGCGGCGGCGCAGCGCGCTGGACAGGTGGACGGCCGCCTGCAAGTTGGGCGCTTGCCAGCTCGACGTGTCCTCCTCCTTTGCTCCAAAACGACACCAGCAAACAGGCATGAGGGTGCTGGGGGTGCAGTGTGTGCGCCCGCTCTCTGCGCTCGACAGCCCAAAAGAAGCTGTCAGGCGGTTCACTCCCTCATGGTTCACAGTGGTGGGTTTGAAGGCCGCCCGCTCTGCCAAAGAGCTCTGTTGCCGCACCGGAAACCCTGCCGCCGTTGCCGCCTCCCACGGCTCTGCCAGCCACCCTACACGACCTCCGGCGCATGCAGAAGCAGGGCAGCAAAGGAAGCTCGCACCGACCTCCATGCGCTGCCGCCGCCGCCCGCGGCCCGCCGCCACCGACCTTGCGCCCGCCTCAGTGCAGGTCATGAGCACCGGAATTGTGGGCCAGGTCATCGGCACCTTTCCCTATGATGCACCCGGCAAGCTGCAGGCGGGGTGGGCCTTCTGGTGGCTGTCGCTTGTCCTCTTCTGCATCTTTTTGGCCATGCTGATTGGCAGGTGAGCCTTGCTGCTGCGGTACCCACCCGCCCACGGCTGGCGCCGCCGTGTTTGCACAGCCTTGCAGCTCCATGCATGCCACAGCAGGCAGCGCGTGCCAGGCCAAGCCCGCCGCCCATCTCCCTGCCTTCCCGGATGGGCCGCTGGCAGCAGACGCACCATGCGGGTGCCAAGGCAGAGAGGGCCGTGCGCCGGGCCTCCCGCTGTGCACCGCCGCAGGTTTGTCTTCTTTTGGAAGGAAGCCCTGCTGCTCTTCTCGCAGCCCTTCCAGGCCATGTTCCTGGGCGCGGTCACCATGGCGTTTGCCACCATCATCAACGGGTTTCCCACGTGGGTGCAGTCAGCAAGAATTCATTCAGTGAAAAACTTGCTGCAAGATTGCCCTGCCGCTGCCGCTGCTCGCCAGCGCCAGCGCAGCCTGCAGCGGAAGGAACCTTGTTCCCTGCAACCTGCTGTGTTTGCTGGCCTGTATCTGCTGCGGCTAGCGTGCGCCATGCATCCGTGCTCTCAAAAGGCTCCTGCCTTGCCTGGCTGCCCCTGCGGCGGGGACAGGATGCATGCCGACACGCCGTCTCCGAGTGCGCCGCGGCCACCGCCACCACCCTGCCCCCTGCAGATTCCTGATCCATTACTGGGACCATGATGCGGTGATGGAGGCGGCTGTGGTGCTGTGGTGGATCCAGGCGGCCCTGGCGCTGGCCTGCACCCTGCTGCTGCCCTTCTTCATGTTCACGCTGCACAGGTGGGCGAGGCAGGCCTCCTGCCGGCACCGTGCGACACGACGTGCTGCAGCACGGGACTGTGCTCAGGCCTCAGCCTGGCGGCCAGGTGTGCCGCCAGGCGACCTCTCCGCCCTCCTGCCATCGTGGCCCCGCGCCGGCGCCCCGCTTTCTTTCTTCCCCCCAGGTTTGAGCTGGAGAAGATGTCGGCGCTGTGGCTGCTGCCCATCCTGCCCTGCGTGGTCGCCTCCGGCTCCGGCGGCATCATCGCCCGGAACGCCTCTGTCGGTGCGCTGCGCTGCGCTGGCTGCTGGGGATGCCAGCGCTGCGTGCCCGCTGCCCCGCCCTGCGCCGCTGCTGGCAGGCGCAGCTGCTAGCGGGATTGCTGCTGGCCAGGCCGCCGGTGCTGGCAATCGCCGTGCTGCCCACCACCTGCTTGCCTTTCTTGTTAGCACCTGCTCCTGAAAAATCAACCAGGTGAAGGGCTTGCCTGCGTGCCCCCTCCACACACACACACACACACACACACACCACTACATGACCACTACACACTCATGCAGGCACCGCCGTCTATGTGATGCACATGAGCTACCTGCTGTGGGGCATCGGCATCCCGCTCTGCCTCATGATCATGACCATCTACCTGCGGGTGGGTGGTGTGCTGTGTGGGCTGGTGGTGGTGGCGGGTGGGTGGTGCAAGGTACATGCGTGTTGTTGTGGTGGTGGTGGGGAGGGTGGTGCACGTGTGGCACGGTTGCAGGCCGGGATGCGCACGCTCCACGTGGCAGCCCCGGCCAGCATGCCCTAGCCACCGCCCCAGCCTGAGCTGACGCCCTCCTGCCGCCGCTGCCCGCCACCTGCCACCACCCGCCACGTCCTCCCTCCCGCAGCGCCTCATGGTTCACAGCATCCCGCCAAAGGAGCTCGTTGTGTCCTCCTTCTTGCCAGTGGGGCCCATGGGTGAGAGGGTGCTCACCGGCCACCCCATGCTCCTGCCCGCATGCTCCCTCTCCACCGCCCTGCTGCTCCCCAGGCCTCGGCTGGTGCAGTGCACAGAGCCGGTAGGCTGCCTGGCTGTCTGCCCTGCTGCCACGCCGCTCCCTGCGGCCTCCCTCATGCCCACCTGAACACCTGACCACCTGGCTCGCCTGCCCCTGCCTGCCCCTGCCTGCCCCTGCTGCCTCGCGTGCCTGCAGGCATGGGCGCTGTGGCTCTCCTCAACCTGGGCGCCGCAGCCATGCGTCTCTACCCGCCGCCCGCCACAGCGGACGTGGCGGCCTCGGTGGCCGCCGGGGCAGACCCCTCCAGCGACGCAGCCCTGCTGGCGCTGGTGGAAGCCAACCAGGGCCTGATTGTCAGTGTGACGGGCGTGGTGGTTGCCTTCATCATGTGAGCGGGTGGGGCTGGCGCCGCGTGCGCGTGGACCGCAGGCAGCGGGGTGGAAACGCCTCCGCATTGGTGTGAACTGCCGAGCGCCGCGCCTGCAGCGTGCTGTGGCTGAAGCTGCCGCCTGCCTGCCTGCCTGGCTGCCTACCTGCCTGCCTACCTGGGTGTTGATGATGTGTGCAGGTGGGGAACCGGCGTCTGGTGGCTCACGGTGAGGCGGCCAGCCAGCCGACATGCTCCTTCGCAAGCCCCGCACGTTCTTTTGTGGACAGGCGCAGCCTCGTCGTGGGCTGCGCCCGCCTGCTGTGGCATATCCAGCCCTGCCGACAGCTCGGCCCAGCTTGCCTCTCCATGTCTCCCGCCACCCCTCTTCCTCTGGTGCAGGTGGCTGTGTGCAGCGTGTGCGCCAGCTGCCGCCAGATGACCTTCAACATTGGGTGGTGGGTGAGTGGGCAGCCCCGTGTCGCGGCTGGCGGGCCTCCTGAAGCTAGCCACCTCCCCGCGGGCGCTCGCGTGCCTGCTGCCTGCTGCCTGTAGACGCTGCATGCTCCTGCCTGCGGTGCTCTCGCCGATGCCGGCATCCCCTCGCCTGCTTTCCTGCTCCCCTGCAGGGCTTTGTTTTCCCCCTGGGCGTTTTTACCTCCGCCGCCAACGAGCTCTGGCGGCGGCTGCCCGATCTGCAGTCGATGCGCGTTGTGACGGCAGTGCTGTCGTGAGTGCCTGCCGCCCCGCCGCCGTGGCGCTGTGCGACTCCCCGCTGCTGCAGTATCCCCGACCTGTGGCTGCGCTCGTGCCCTGGCTGCAATCTCCAAGCACCGCCTCGCTCTGGTGCCCTGCATAACACATGCTTGCCGCTGGCACCCCCCTCCTCCACGCAACATGCAGCTGCTGCACAATCGCCCTGTGGGCCTTTGTTTTCCTCAACACACTCATCCAGGGCTGGAACGGCTCCCTCTTCTATGCGCCCTGCCTGGCCAACAGGTGCACACGTGTGGTGGGGGCTGCCGCCGCCGAAGCGCCCTGCCCTGGTTGCTGGGGTTGTTGGGGCCGCGCCACACACCACCCCGCCACCACTCGCACCGCCGCATGCATCAAGCTGGGTGTGACCGGCGCCCCCGATGCCAACCACCCACTGGCGACGATGCAGGCCAAAGGGCGACGAGCCGCCCCAGGCTTCCGGGCCTGGGCTGGAATCCTTCCCAGACTCTCTCAATTATTGCGCCAAAGAGGGCGCCGCCCCTTCCAGCAGCAGCGACGGCGAGGACGGGCGGCAGCAGCAGCAGCAGGAGGAGGAGGAGGATGTGGAGGCGCAGCAGGGCAAGCCGCAGGGCGAGCAGCCGCCGGAGAAGCAGGCCGGCGGCGCCGCCGCGGACGGCCTGCAGCGCCGGGTGAACGGGCACGCGGGGGACGCGCTGTGACTTTTGCTGCCATGCAGAGATCAGTAAACAACCTCCACTGCCCCCCCCCTCTTGATCTGTCAGGATAAGCCAGCCGGCTGGCATACCCTTGTACTACCGACATTCATTTTGTTGTGGGCGACACTTTTGCTCGTATGCCCCTGCTGCTGTCAGCCTCACAATGCACTACCTCTGCTGCCCCTCGATGCGCTGTCTAGCCTGGCTTTTGTAATATGGTCACAGTGACCGAACAGGAGATGGGCGCATTGGCACCTGCTGTGCTGCCGCGAAAGCAGAGCAGGCTGCCGCGAGGTGCCCTTGCGCCAGCACAACCAGCTGGCGACTATAGGAGCGCTGGCGCCCGGGCACAACCGTTGCGTCCTGCTTTTATCCACCGCCGCCTCACTCAGCGTCCATCTCCTCACTGGCAAAGTCCAGGCTGTCGGCCGCCTGCAATACCACAGCAGTACAAGAAGTACATACACAACAGCCGACCCACCGTTACGATGCTGGCTCACGCATTTGCGCTGCATTGCCCCCCCCCCCAGCACACCCCTTGGCCGCACCCTGCCATACACATATTCGTCGCCCTCCTGCTTCTCCTGGCTGGGACGCCCGTGCGGCATGTGGGATGCCATCTCGAAATAGGGGTCGGGGCTGCCACCGTTGTGGGTGCCACCTCCGTTGCCGCCGCCGCTCTGCTGCTGCTGCTGGCCCGCTGCCGCCGCCGCGTCCTGCTGGTGAAAGAAGGTGTGCGGGTCCTGCGACGCGTAGCGCGGGCTGCCCGGGTGCAGGCCTCCTTGCGTGAGCAGCTCTGAGGTCTCCGCCTGCTGCACAGGGCCTGCCACAAACTTGCTGCGGTGGTGCATCACAACATCCTCCACCTGGGGCACAGGGGCAGGCAGGGAGGCGGCTCTTTGCAAGGTGCTGCACGCACAGCACAAACCAAACATCGATGGAGCGCCAGCCAAGGCAGCACAGCACCCAGCGGGGCGGGCGAGCCGGCGTCGGGCTTCGCCCAGCCGCCGCCCGCCGCCATCCCGCCGGGCCCCAACCCAACGCAGCGGAGGCTTCAAAGGAGCGTCTCGACACTCAGCTCACCTCCTTTGGCGAGCCTACGAGGAACTGCTTGTCCTCCGCGTCCAGGTGCGGTCCCGGCTGCAGCGTGACCCATCCCGACCCCGTCTGCACATCCACTTGCGAGCCCGACATGGTGCTATGAACTGGCAGCCTGCATAAGCCAAGGCTTGTTCAGGGGCCAAACCCAGCGCCGCCAGGTGGCGCAGCAAGCCCAGCGCCGCCGCGCATTTTACTTGCCGCCTCAATCCATTTCGATATGGAACAGGCATGATTACAGTTTGCAGTGACGGGTTGCAAGGCTCAAGTATCTGGTTCATTGTGTGGCAGGGGGAGCTGTGCAGGGTGGGGCGCTTGGTAGCGAAAAAGCGCCATGGCGAGTCGGTCGGAGGCTGGGGGCAGCCAAGAGGCTGGGGGCGGTCAGGGTCAGCAAGTGGATATCAAAGGGTGAAGAACGAAAGACAGTTAGGGCTGGGGAGGAACAGCGGCAGGAGCCCCGGCGGTGTGCGAGCAAGGAGCATGGAAGAGCGGTGCAGAGTGTGGGAAAGGGAAGCGAATGCAGGGTGTAAACAGACGGCAGAAGAGGGGAGCTGCAAGCGCGAAACAGTGTGACAGAGGCGCCTGGAAAAGCGGGGTGGTGGCAGTAATGCGGGCGGCGCGCCGTTTGCTGCCACTGAGCGGCAGCAGCACAGGCGAAAAACAGGAGCTGCCGGGCAAACAGCTCGTGCCCCAGCATCACTCTCGTGCATATGGGTTCACCCCGAGCCGGCGCTTCACGGGGAGCTGCAGGCAGGCGCAGGCAGCACACCGGGGGGCGGCAGGGGTGAGAGCCACCGCTTGCGACCCAACCGTCCCATGTCCGCATCGCGCTCCCAAGCGCCCACACACCACCAGCCCCTCCACCACCACCACCACACCTGTATGGTTGACCGGAACTCCTTGCTGTTCTGCTCCACCAGCGGCTGCGCCAGCGCATACACGTTGAGCAGGCCCTGCTGGCACATGTCGCCCAGCACTGCAGCAGAGGCGGGGGCAGGGGCACACAGCAGCAGCGGTAGGCAGGCAGAGCTGGCGGGTGGAGACTTGGCAGGCCGGAAGGGATGGCAGAAGCATGCGAGCCAACCCTTTCTCCTCCGCGAAGCGGTCTTGCGTCAGGCACAGGGCGCCACCTACGCAGCACAGCAGCACATGCAGCGCGCGGCGCATGCATAGCCTCCTGCCGCCGCAACCTAGGATAGCGCACGCCCCACCGCGGCGAGCCGCCCCCACACACCTGCATCGATCTGCTTCTCAATGGGCATCAGCCGCGGGAAGGCAAAGATCTTCTGCAGGCCGCGGCGGTGCACCACGTACGAGTGCGTGCCGAAGAAGGAGTGTGCGGCGCGGTACCGCGGCGCCCCCGCCACCGCGGGGCAGCTGTGGCAGTAGTGGCCCAGCATCACAATGTCCCAGTCCTCTGCGCGGGGCGGGCAGGTGGGGAAGGGGGGTTGGCAGAGGTCGGGAGGAGGGCAACACAGCGCTTGGTGCCACCAGGGGCGTGCGAGGCTGCGCGTGGACGCGCTCCAGCCGTGCCCATTGGCGCCGCAAGCCCGTCATCCACCCTCTGGCTGCCGCCCTGCCAGCCGCGCCCACGCCACCAGCCATTCAGCTGCCCAGGCCCCCACCCACCCCCGCCCCAGCCACCCACCTGGGAAGGGCTTGGCCTCCACCAGCGCCGCCAGCAGGCCCGGCTGCTCGATCACGGCGTCGTCCTCAAACACAAAGGCAAACTGGGCGTCGGTCTCGCGCAGGATGTGCTGGTACAGCTGCAGGTGGCTCATGTAGCAGCCCACCGACCCGCGCGTCAGCTGGTAGTGCTTGGTGCGGTAGCCGGCGGCCTCGGCTGCGGGGGCAGAACAAGGGGACGGGGGGGCAGGATGGCAGCTTCAGGGCGGGGCTTAGAGCGGCAGGGCATGCGGGTGGCGGAAAACAGGGAACGCGGGGTTGAGGTGTGCTGCACAGGGCCCCCGCTGCTGCCATCCGGCAGCCCAACACCCGCTGCACTGCCCACCCGCACTTTTGCACCCGCCAGCCCTCCCCGCCCATCACCCCCCGGCTCACCGGCCTCGATTTCGGCCAGCGCCTTGGCCGACACGAGGCGCGAGGCGTCCAGGGCGGAGCCGTTGACCGCGGGAAAGCGCACAAAGTTCTTGGCCTTGAGGTCAGAGGCCTGCAGGGCGGCGGGGGAAGAAAGGAGGCACGCAGCTCTGTCTCGCAGCGCGGTGAAGCGGCAGCTTCCGTCTGACAGCACGGCAAAGGCGTGCTCTGGTGCGGGCACGCGCGGGGGCAGCCATGGGACGGCAGCCGGGGTGCAGGGCTCCCACGAGCGGCCCACCAGCTCGCTGGCTGCCGGCCGGGGCGCACACCTGGAAGGTGCGCTGGAAGGAGGCGAGGCGCGCGGCGGCGCCGTCCATGTTGATGACGTACACGTCAAAGGGCAGGGTGGCGCCCGTGTACTGGAAATACCTGCGGTACGGATGGCGGCACAAGTGGCGGTCCATGAACGGTCAAACAACCCTTCCGTGGGGCGGCTGGACGGCCCACCCCGCGCGGTCGCATGCGTGCTGCCAGTAGCATAGCAAGCAGCAGGCGCCAGACACGTGACTGTCGCCTGAACCAAGGAGCCAGCCCGCACAGGCACATGCGGCTGCCACAAACCCCCTCCACAGCCTCCCCACATACACACCGCCGCAACACCCAACACCCACCAGGCCAAGAAGTCCTGCTCCTGCTCCACGCCCGCCGCACCCTGCACCGCCTGTCCCGGCAGCGCTGCTCGGCGCGGCAGCGCCGCGGCCGCCGCGCCGCCTTTGGGCCTCGCCAGTATGTCCAGCATGTGTGCCTCTGTCGCGGCGCAGGGGCGCAAGAACAGCGCGCCGCCGCTGACGGCGTGCACCGCGGTGTCGTTGCCGCCCAGCCACCGGGCCTGGTCCCACCCCGCCGCAAAGTCGGTGGGCAGGCTGAAGAGCGGGGCGATGTCGCCCGTGATGTACGCGTTGCTGTCCACCAGCAGTACCGCATCGTACTGCGTCAGCCCAAACGCACGCAGCTTGAGCCAGCTGTGCGAAGCGGAGCTGCAGGGAGGCAGAGTGGCATAGGCGTGCCGGTCGTGTCAGCAAGATGTCGTGTCGGCCCGCCAACTGGCATGCAGGCTGGCCGGCATCAGGGCTGCGGCAGCGCCTCCCAGCCTGGCAGCGCACGTGCTGCGACCCAGCACCGCGCGCCAGCGCGCCGCAGCAGCGGAGCACCAGCAACCTGAGCAGCTCAGCACCAGCTGGCAAACTGCTTGACCAGCCAAGAGTGGGGCAGGCGGGGCCTGTGCACGCACCGGGCCTGGGAGCCGTACTGCCTCGCCAGCGGCTCCACATAAAACATGGTGAGCCCCAGGTCCAGGATGCGCTGGGTGGCGGCGGCCCCCAGCTGGCCCCGCACCAGCATCACCGCCAGGTCCACGCTCGGGTTGGAGCGCCGCATGGAAGCCTCCAGTTGCTGCAGGAAAAGAGAGCAAGGGGATGGCCAGACGGCGCAGTGTTTCAGGGCATTTCTGGGGGCGCGGCGGCGTGCATAATGCGCATGGGCTGCTGCGTCGGCGGGGTGCGCAGCGGCAGGCACGCCTGGCTGCATGGGCGCACATGCCAATGCCGGCGTGCCGCTTTGTGCCAGCAAAGCAGGCGGCCGCGGAGCAGCGGAAAAGCAACGACACAGCGCCCCGCCCCGCTCTGCCCTCGCCTCACCAGCAGCTGGGTGACCTCCCGCTGGCTGTGCACGTGTGTGACTACGGCGTGGCGCCCCTTGCTGTTGCGCACGCACTGCTGGCCGATGCAGCAGCTCTGCACGGGGAAGTCTAGGTCGCGGGCAGGTGGCGGCCCGCGGCCTGCGCCAGCCCGCAGCAGCGCCTGCGCCAGGCCGTCGCGCAGGTGCGGCTCGAAGAAGCTCAGCAGCGCCACGGTGAGCAGCGCGGCCAGCAGCAGGCCCTGCAGGGCTAGGCGGCGGCCGGGCCTGAAGGCGCCGCCGCCGCGCCGCTGCCGCGCAAAGAGCTGCTGCGCCAGCGGGCCGCCCAGGCTGCTGGCATCGACCAGGTAGATTGGGCCCGTCGCGTGGATGGTTGTGGTGGGGCTCAGGGGCAGCAGCCAGGCGGGGTTGGCGCCGCTGCCCTCCTCGCCCTGCCCCATTCTGGGCGGTCGGTCAAGTCCACCAGCTGGCGGCAGCCTTTCTCTGACGGGATCCTATGGGTGCTGAGGGCCCTCCCAGGAGCCTGGGGTTGGCTGCCACGGGAGGGAGGGCGCGGAGAGGGAGCCGTTGAGTGGCAGCTCAAGGGCAGAGGGTAGGACCCGGTGCTGAGCGGGCTGGGGACAGAAGGGGATGGCGGGAATTGACTCCTGAGGGCGATCGCCCGGCCCAAACGCAACGCGCTTGGCAAGTTTCTTCGTGGGGTGCTGGCGCCCCGCGGCGAGCTCCTCATGCAGGGAACGTTTCCTGGAGGGCAGCCCTTCAATTGAGGTTGCAGAAGAGGTGCTGATCAGCTAGCAAGGGCGGGCACTGGGCCCCATGGGCAGGCAAACCCTCCGCAGGTGTGTGGGGCGGGGTGGCAGCGGTGTAGTGCCACTTCAACCAGGCGAAGTAGGCTTCATGTGCTGTCCCTCTATCCAACATCAATCCATGAGGGGGTCTTCAATTCACGTAGGGGGAGGGCCTTGGCGAGCTGCAGCACTGTGCTCCTCACGCGGGTGAGCGGCGCTTGGCGGCGCAATGCAAGGAGGCGGCGGAAGCGCTGAGTGACGCTGCAGATGGTGACAATAGGCGAAATACGTCATGCTGAGCAACGTGCAAGGACCTTGAGGGGCCGCTGTCAAATCTTTGGGAGGGCGTGCCGCTGACGCCGTGCCAGCGTCGCCATTGCCGAGGCGATGCTGGCACGTGCTGGATTTTGGCGGCATGAACATGGCTTGAAATGCAGCGTCAGCTGCGGGGAGCGGCAAGGGTGGGCTGCGCGAGCAAGCCCAGCAGGCATGGCCGTGCCGAAGATGGGCAGGCGCCGTCTTGATTGCACGGAGTGCCTCGGCATGCAGACATGCGGGCTTCCATCAGCGCCTCCTGGCGCAGAGGGGCGATGATTGGCAGCCTGGGACGCGTAACGGAGCAGCAGGCTCGCTTCCTCCACTACAGGTAGCTGCGCGGTGGTTGACTGCGCGGCGAGGGGCGGCGGTTGGCCAAACTGTGTTGGATAGCTTTGACCAGAGCAACGGGCGGCATTCCCATGTCCTGCAAAAGTATTTAATGATCCTCCGAGCTCTCGCGCCCTCCGTAATCGAGCATGCCATGCCGCAGCAGGCCAGGGTGCTGTGGGCCACCGCCCTCCTGCTCCTGTTGGCGCCTGCGGCCAGCCTCGCGCAGGTTGGTGCTGCCTGTCCTTGATCGTCACCCCCTACTCGGAGTCATGACAGCAAGGAGAGCCGCTAGGAGCGTTCCGCCTCCCCGCGGCACTCATCTTGAAAACAAACTGCACGCCCGCTGCTTCAGGTCGCTTCCAGGAAGCTCGCCAACCGCGGTGAAAGCCCCGAAGTCCACTCCGCCAGGCGGCTGAGCCAGGCCGCAGATGGCGGCGACGGCGGGCAGGAGCGGGTGTCGGCGGCGGCGGCCCAGCTGGCTGCCGCCATTGCACAGGGCGAGCAGCGCGTGCCGGCGGCTGCCGCCGACCTGGCACGCCCCGTGACGCCCAGCGGACAGATCCCACCAGACCTGGTGGCTGCATACAGGGAGGCTGAGGAGGAGGGAGGCAAGGCGAGTTTGACCGGCCTAGTGCCTGCCTTACGCCCAATGCTGACGCCTTATGTAGGCCTTTCGTGACACCTTTCAACTGGAAAACAACCCAGCAGCGACTCCAGGCTGATCTGCTTTTTCCAGGTCGATGCCAACTCCTGGTGGCTACCAAGTCCGCCGCCACCATCACCGCGACGCCCTCGGCCGCCGCCATCACCAAAGCCCCCACGACGGCCACGACCGCCGCCATCGCCACGGCCGCCGAGGCGCCCACGCCCCTCGCCTCCTCCACCTAAACCCCCACGCCCGCCACGCCCGCCGCCATCACCCAGGCCCCCTCGAAGCCCGCCCAGGCCTCCCCGGTCACCACCCCCCTCCCCCCAGCCGCCTCCCCTGCTCGTCCCGCCGCCACCTGCCGCCCAGCCGCCGCCTGGGCCACCGCCCTCGCCCCGCCCGCAGCCCTCGCCGCCGTCTCCACAGCCATCGACGCAGTTTGGAGCAAAGGAGTACTCAGAGGTGTGAGCGAGCGGTGGAGCACGCAGGAGTGTGTGTGTGTGCTGGGACATCATGGTGTGAGTGTGTGGCAAGGGCCAGGCCATTTAACGTGCACATGCCTCTGCCAGACAGCACGCGTCTGGCAGCGCCACCAGCGCCGCCACCACAGGAGGCCCGCCCACGCCTCACCTCCGCCGCTGCCTGCTGCTGCCGCAGGTGCTGGAGGCCTGCTATCTGTTCTACGAGGCGCAGCGCAGGTGGGCTGCTCTAAACCGCCCTGTGCGAAACACGCATGCCGCAGCTTGAAGCAGCAGCAGGCAGCCAGCGTCTGCCCTGCATGCCGCAGCGCTGCACGTCCACAGTCCAGCACGGCCGCCCCCCGCTGCCTTGCGACCACCGCGCTGTGCCAACGCCTGCGTACATAATGCGCTGGCACGGCGTACCCTCATGTACTGCCACCCCTGCCTCCTGTGCTGCCGTGCAGCGGGCGCCTGCCGACCGACAACCGCGTGGCATGGCGTGCGGATGCCCATGTGAACGACTTGGTGCCGGGAGGCTGGTACGATGCAGGTGGGCTTGGGCCCTGGGGCAAGCGCGCCGGGCGTGGTGTGTGTGCTTGCGTTTCGGCTGGCTGGGCTGGTTTGTGTGGGTGTGGTGTGGGCTGGAGGCTGCACGTCGTTTGCCGCCCACGTGCTGCTGTTGGGTGCCCGCGCTTGGCTGCTCAGTCGAGAGGAGGTCGGGTTTGCCTGCGCAGGCTGGGCGCCGGCCTGAGTGCCCGCCCACCTCCCTTGCCTGCCTTCCCATGCTCATGCCCGCCAAACGCCCCCTGCTCGCGCGCCCCCACACCCGTCTCCCCTCCTGCCATCACACTTGCCTCTCCTCCTGCGGCCACAGCACTCTTTTTCCTGCCCCTCCACTGCCCTCCCTCCTTCCCTCGCCCTGCCCACCCCTCCCCCGCCGCCTCCCCCACCCGCAGGCGACTACATCAAGCACGCGCTCACCGTCGCCAAGACCGCCACCTTCCTGGCCTGGGGGGCTGTAGACTTCCAGGGGGGGCATGAGCGGGGTGAGGCGTGTGTGTGCGCGTGTGAGCCTGCTTGGAAGGGGCCTGGGGCGGGGTTGGTAGCGGTCCCTGCCCGCCTGCTGCGAGCGGCCCGCAGTCGCCGCACCTAGGCAGCGGCCGGATCACACCTGCACATGCTGTGCGCGCTGGGAGGAGGCGGTTGAGGGCAGCTGAGGCGGGGTGGTGGGTGGGACATGGCCGCTCGCCTCCCGCGCATCACCTGCTGCCTCACCCGCCCGCCGCTGCGCCCGGCCGCCCGCAGCCAGCCAGCTGCAGCACGCGCGGGCGGCGGTCAAGTGGGCCGCCGACTACCTGCGGGGCTGCCACCTGGAGCGCGGCCGCTGCTACGTGGGCCTGATCGGCAACCCCGGTGCGCTGCGCTGCGCCTGGCGGGGCTGCGCTGGCGGGGCCGCTGGTGCTGGTGCCCCTCGCCCACCTGCACCGCCACAACCAGGCTGGGCTGGCGGCCGCAGCGACAGCCTGACAGCCCGCCTGCCGGCTGGCAGGCGCTGATGAGCGTAACGCGGTTGCCGGGCAGCTGGTTGCAGGTGCCTTCCACCCTCAGCCTCCCTCATTCCAGCCCTCTCACTCTGTGGAAACGTTAAGGTCCTTGTCCACCCCCGTTGCCCTGCTCCTGCAGACATCGACCACACCTTTTGGGGTAGACCACAGGACCAGCCGGTGGGCGGCACCCTGCGCCCCGTCTATTCCTGGAACCGCACCATGGCGGCATCAGACCTGCTGGGCACGGTAGGCAGCAGCGCCGGCAGCACTGGCCCGCTGCAGCATCTCCCCTGCTCTGCTGCTGCTGCTGCTGAGCAGTTGGGGACGTTGCAGGCTGCTTCCGCTGGGGCGTGTCGGATCCTGCTGCTGGAGCTAGGACCCAGGCCCTGCCGCCGCCTGCGCCGTGCCTGCAGGTTGCCGCCTCGCTAGCCTCAGCCAGCGTGTTGCTGCGCCCTGTCAATGCCACCGATGCAGACAGCTACCGCGACCATGCGGAGCAGCTGTATGCCTGGGGGGCCTCCCTGCAAGGTGAGGGCCTTCCACTGTGAGAAGCACTGGGGCAGCGAAAACATTCTCCATCCTCCGAGCTGGCTGGCCACTTGTTTCTCACCCCGGCGCCAACTCGCCTGTTGCCCGCCGTGTCGCCTTCCTTCCTTCCACCATCGCCATCACCATCACACAAATGCATTGCACCCACTTGCACCGTCTGTGGTACAGGCATGTACAGCAAGAGCCAGCCGGGATACCCCTGGGTCTACAGCTGCTCCCGGTACCACGACAAGCTCATGTTGGCGGCGGGATGGCTGTACCGCGCCACAGGTGCGGTACAACTGCAGTGCAGTACACTAGCGCACTGCGCTTAAGGAACCCCCACCTCCCCTATGCGTCTGGCCATCAGCCCCCGCACTTTCCCTTGCTCGTCTCACACCTCTGCCCCCCTGCTCTCCTTGCCACCTCCATCTCCCGCCTGCAGGCAATGCCAGCTACCTCCAGGCGGCGCACCGCCACTGGCGAGACGCCGGAGGCATCTACGGTACTGCAGGCTCGGTCAACCCTTACGTTAGCTGGGATTCCCTCTACGCCCCCGCCGCAGCCCTGCTGCTCAAGTGCGCGAGAGAGAGAAAAAAAAAACAAAAAAAACTCAAAAAAAAAAAAGTGTTGGTTTAGGGTTAGGGTTAAGGTTTAGGGTTAGGGTTTAGGGTTCATTTTTTTTTTCCATCATTTTTTTTCATCATTACAATTTTTTTTTGGTTTTTATGGTTTTTATAATAATAAAAACCCTAAAACCCCAAAACCCTAAATACATTATAAAAAAACATTACCATTTACGCACCCACCATTTATGCACCTGCAGCGTGGGATCGTCCATCGGCGCCTCTGCCGTGCCGGGCCGGGCCGAGTACGCTTCTTTCTTCTCCGACTTCTCCCAGATCTGGGTCCAGGCCACAGGTGGGTGTGGGTGCAGTGCAGCGAGGGGAGACCGCTGCTAAATGGGGATGGGACGCACGTGTTTTTTGGTGTTGAGGCTGGCTGGCGTATCGCTTGCAGGTGTGCGTGATGCAATGTGCATGCTGCGGTTTCAGCCAGGCCGCTGGCTCTGACCCTGCCGCCGCCGCCTCGCCCACTGACGTGCCTCAGGCAGCTGGGGCATTGTGAAGACCCCCAAGGGCCTGCGCCTGGCAAACTGGTCCAAGGTGGGTGGAGGATGGGCGCTGCTTGTGCTGCCGGCTGCTGGCTGCTGGCCGGCGGGGCGGGGTCCTTGGCAGCGGCACGACATGCCAGCCTGGCATGCCTGCAGCCGCTGATCTGCACCGCGATCTTGCCCTGTACTGCCGCCATGCAGTGGGGCAACCTGCGGTACGCTGCCAACGTGGCGTTCACGGTACTGCTGCGGGCCAACCAGCTGCCGGCAGGCGCCCCGGTGAGCCTGTGGCTGGGCAGGGACTGTAGCCTGCTTGCTTGGCAGCTTGCTGAGCGCTGGGAGCCAGCCGCCGAACCACCTCGAGAGCTCTCGCCGGCCACCTGTTCCAGCTCCACCCTGACCTGCTCCTTCCGAATGCCTGCTGCAGGAACGGGCATCCCTGCTGGCCTTTGCCAGGTCGCAAGTCGACTACGCCATGGGGTCTGCGGGCAGGAGCTATGTGGTGGGGTGGGGCGTGAACCCGCCGCTGCGCCCGCACCACGCCGCCGCCTCCTGCCCCAGCCCGCCAGCCAGCTGCAGCTGGGCGGAGTTTGGGTCGCCTGCGGCCAACCCACAGGTGTGTGCTGCCGATTGTTGCGTTGGGCCCCTGGCACAGCAGCTATCGTGTGCACAGGCGAGGGCACCGTGCAGCCATAGTGCGCGCGTGCAAGGGGCGCCCCAGCAGCAAGCTCAGTGCGTCTGGGCCGCCGTGCTGCGCAGGTGCTCAGGGGTGCGCTGGTGGGGGGGCCAGCGGGCCCAGGCGACGACACCTATTACGATGAACGTGACGACTATGTAACCAACGAGGTGGGTGGTGATGTGGGCATGGTGCGGGAGCTCGGTGGTGTGGGCATGGTGGTGGTGGCGGCATGCTGCTGTTGGTAGCGTTGCCGCGCGGTCTTTGACCACAGCCCCGACTCAGGCCTGCGCAGCGCAGCCGTGACGCCTGCCTTGCCCAGCGCGGCGGTTTGGCCAATGGCGGCAAGGAGGCCTGGCCCCGCCGCTGCTGCAGGTGGCAATCGACTACAATGCGGGGCTGACGCCGGCGCTGGCGGGACTCCTGGCCATGCTGGCGTGAGCTTCCAGGCACCGATTTGTCGGTAAAGAAGGCACCACTTTAATAGGGTTTTGTTGAGGGCATGTTACTATAATACAATCACGATGTTATAAATAATACTCACGTGATGTAAACTCACGCCAGCGGCGACGGCAGGCGGCGGGCATTGGAGAGGAGGGTGCTCTGAGCACTGTACCAGGCGGGCACTGCATAGTGTAGTTCTAGTGCAGTCCTACCTCTGGTGGTTCCATGTTACACATGTTTCTGCATTTCATCCAACGGTTTCAACACAGCTACGCCTTGTAGGCCTCCTTGGTTCAACGCAGCATCATGTAATATGCAGCCATATCCCACGCTAGGTGCATGACCAGCAGGCACAGGCAGGAGCGATCAGCAGCAGGCGCCGGTGCTGCCAGGGGCATCCGCGGCGGAGGCAGGCCCTGCCAGCTGGGTGCCGCCGAGGGGCAGGAAGGGTCCAAAGTGGTTGGTGCTGTCGCCGATGACCTGGAAGTGGCGGGACAGCCAGCCGTGCTGCAAGATGGCGGCTGCAGGCGGCGGGTGGCGGGCAAGGGGAAAGGATCATCAGCAGTGCCAAGGCGCGATCATCCAGGCCATGTCGGTTGGGGGTAGCGTCCCTGCCCACACCAGCAACCCAGCCAGCCAGCAGGGGCTCACCTGTGTTGCCGCACACTGCATGCCACTTGCCCGCCTCCAGCTCCTGCTCTCCGTCTAGCGCATAGGACAGCTTGTGCCCAGGCAGCGCGCCCTGCATGGATGGCGGCAGCCGGGCGTGGCATCAGCATCGGCAGCTTCATCCGGTGGTGCTATGAAAGCAGGGCCTTAAGGCTTGCTCAGTCACAGTGAGGGCAGTACCGGATGCAGAAATGAGGTAACCAGCGGTAAACGAGCGGTGCAGGCTCACCAGGTAGCGCGCTGCCTGCCCATAGTCCTCCCGACCCTCCTCCAGCAGCCCCTCGGGCAGCTTGAACAGCCTGTATGTCACACTGCTGAAGCCAGCGCCGCCCAGCATCTCCCGCAGCTCGGGGTCGCTGACCTGCGTCAAGGATTGGGGCAAAGGGAACAGCGGTGTGAGTCATGGATCAAAGGGAGAGCGGAGGCCTTGCACACGCCAAGGCGTGCCGCTCCCAGGGGACACTGGTTCACCGTTTGGCTCCCGCCACGGGCAGGGCACAGCGGCACGCAGCCCTGCCTGGAAGGGGCGAGCGGTGAGGCGCTGCGGCGCCAGGAACCCCGCCTCACGGCAGATGCGGGCAAAGTCGCGCTCGTACATCGCCCCGCCCAGGCACTCGCCCAGCAGCACAGGGTGGGTGCGGATCTGCGGGCAGGTGGCGGGGTTGCGTGTTCCTTACGGCAAGGGCCCTCCTACCTCTGCATTTAAGTAGGCACCTGATGGACATGCTGCCAGTGCACAGAGCATAGGGAGGGTTGGGCGGGCGGCTGGCAGGTCCAGCTGGCGCCCATCGCAGGCAGGCGCCCACCTCCTCCGGCAGCCGCCTGTTGCAGTACACATCGCTGAAGTACACCTCCCCGCCCTCGGCCAGCGCGCGGTATGCCTCCCGCAGTACCGCCGGCTTGTCCGGGGACAGGTTGACCTGCGGCAGCGGGGTGGACAGGAGCGCATGCGCATGCGCTTTTGTTTGGTTGCCAGAGCATGGGGATATGGTGGAGCACAGGGCTGACGAATTCAACGAGAGGCTGTCGAGCGTTGGGCAGTCCGTGGGCAGCCCAGAGCAAGCCGCTGAAACCCTGGAGCCTCTCGTCGGTCCCAGCTGCTGCCAGCCTGGCGATGCTGAGCTGGCAAGGCGCACCACGCAGTTGGAGATGATGAGGTCCACACTGCCTGCCTGGATCCCTGCCTCCCCCAGCTTCTCAATCTGGCCCTCCACAAACCGCATGTTGGTGCGGCTGTAGCCCAGCGTCTGCGGCAGGGCAGGGGCCGAGGGCAAGGGCAGGGGAACGGGTTGGCGGCGGTGTGTCCGTGGTTGGCGGCACTGTGTCGGTGGGAGGGTGCCAAGACAGCCCCAGCGCGCCGAGCGGTACGGCTGCGGCTGGCAGGCTCTGGCCCAGCACTGCCGCCCGGGCCTGCTACCTTGGTGCAGAACTCATCGGCATGCTTGCGGGCCACCTCCAGCATCGACTGCAGTGACGGCAGGGCCCAGACACGTGCAGTGTCAGCAGGACCCCAGCGGCACTAGCCAGCGGCGCAGGCGGCAGGCAGGGGCTGAAGGAGGCAGAGAGCTGCGGAGAGGGACGTCCTGTGACAGCAGCAGCGCGCTCGAGTCAGCCAGGCGGCCAGCCAAAGCCAGCCCTGCACCACACTGCAGCTGCCAGCTCACCGGCGTCATGTCCACGCCCGTCACGCTACCCGCCTCCCCCACCAGCCCAGCGCACACGTAGCAGTCGCGGCCGCTGCCGCACCCCAGGTCCAGCACCCTGCAGCAGCCAGGGCAGGCGACGGGCAGGTCGTCGGCAAGCTATGGGGACTCGCTCGCATGAGCAGTGGGGTGTGCGAATCTCAGCATCTCCACTGCCAGCCGCTGCACCATGGGGCGCCGGGCCCCCGCCACACGCTTGCCTCAGGCCCTGGATGCCGTTGGGGGTGGGGCTGCCGCAGCCGTAAAACTTTTCCGCCACCTCGTCCGGCACCTTCTTCAGCAGCTCGCGCACGCCCGGCGGCGGCGGCGCCACCGCGCAGCACGCCGGCGTCTTGCTTGCTTGTGTGGGCTTAAAGTCTGGTAAAGCAAGAACTAGCTTGCAACATAGACTCCCCGCCGAAACGGGACGGGAACCGGGCGAAAGCAGAGAAAGCAATAAAACAGGGGTGGAGCAAGGCGACATGCAACGCAAGCAGCTGACAGGGCACGCATCGAAACGTGTGTATGACTGGCAAAGTGGCATGGCGCATTGGGGAGAAACGCAACGGTACGGGAGCATGGGCTGGCCAAACGGCAGTGCGGAACGCTAGGTCACTAGAAAAGCAGGGAAAGGCGCACTATGTATGCAATGAGGGCAGCCCCGGCTCGGGGCCGTTGAGAAAGCAGTGGGCGGGAGGGGGGAGGC